CTCTGGTGCAAATTACTGACCTCTGTCATCATTTTAGGTGGGGGAACTTGCACAATCGGTGGCTGACTAAATACTTTTTTGCCCCACTGTATGTACACACACATATTTATTTAAACATAAATAAACATAAGCATGTGGCCTTGCAGCCAACTTACAGACAAGAGTTGCTTGGATCCATTAATATTGACAACACAGTGTGTCTGCACACACTTCCCACAGCACTCATCTGAATCAGTTTTTACATATTCATATCCCTGAAAGACAAAGAGAGGGGGCACATTTTGGTTGCCAAGTGCAATATAACAAAGCTACATCTACACTACACTGATATTGTTTAAACTGGGTGTTTCTTACCATGTCACACGTTTTGTTACATTCCTGATCCTTACAGCTTATTACAGTAGAATTTTGTTCAGCCTCACAGGTACACTCCTGACATACAGACCCAGGAACTGAAGAACCAGGCTAGCAGATAAACAGAAAATAGCCGTACAGAATTATCTGCAGTAGAAATCCTTAAAGGTAAAAAAGGTGGCCAATCATTTTCTTCTTATTTACCTGGTATTCAGTCTCATTCCGAACACAAACCTTTTTAGGTTCTAGGAAAAAGTAAAAAATGACTAAAGATAAGTGAAAGTGCTAATTTTGTCATTAGGTTATGCATCAATTTAAACTGCAGTCTTTAGTTTACCGCATCTAAGTTCTGGACAGCATTTTCCCTTAGGAATACTGACAACTGGCTTTTTTCCAATTGAACAGGTCACATCTATGTCTGGGCAACCGCCAGGTTTACACTCTGTGGAGATGATAAAACATTTATTCAGAGTCAAGAATTAACATGAGCTAACAGTCATCTAAACACATTAAACACACGATTGCCTTGATGCTACAAGTCTTACGGCAAACAGGGGTAGAACAGCAGGGATCTGATGGATCAGTTTGGTTGATGAGGACAAATCCATCATCAGAGCATTCTGTTATGTTTGGTTTTGGGCACTCCTTAGGCTTGCAAGTCACAGTCTTTGTGGATTCTTCACAGGTGCACTTCTGGCATTTGAGCTCAAATCTTTCATTGAACTGAAAGTCATATAGAAAGTAATATATAATACTGTGGTTTCATTTGATATGTCACATTTGTCTCTTGCAGCTAAGTAAAGGTTAGGATTTTAACTGAACATGAAATTAAGACTTTGCTCACCTCACGAGAATTACCCTCAGGATCAAGACAAGACAAGGTGGACCTCTTGGTGGCGCTGTCACTTGGTGTTCGCTCGCTCTGCGGTAGAGTATCACTTCCTGTTCCTGCTCAAACACAGTGGTGTTTCTGAGTAGCTTATTTGCTTAGCAATTTAATTAACAACTTTTAAATACATTCTG